CGTTATATAAACTGATAATGACATCTTTATTATCTCTGACGATGCGACCCGGGATCTAATTGGTCCAATCGTAAAAATATCCCAGTAACAAAGTAAAATATAAGACGCACATCAGAATAATTAGGCTATTTGAAATGCCGACATATGACAGTTATTATTCGTTATTACACTGGCCTATTAAATATGATCTAGAAATGCATGAGATCACAGATTTATCACTAACACCTTCTAAAATAAATATAACAATTGACAATAGAGTGACTCAGCCACATATACTGTGCCGTCCTGCAATGCATGTAAGCCTAAACACATTAACCATCAAATGATTTGCGATGTTTTATTTGCGTTTGGTGTGTACTGAACGTAAACACGTGCCAAGGTCCCTTAGACTGGAACGTCGCCTTAAGCAATAGGCAGCCAGGAACACAGATCGCGTCATTACGCCAGTGATTGGTGGTTAGATTTTACAAACGACGTCTAGAATTTCGCAACTCCTATGTGACGTTCGTCGGCTCACTGTGAACTAAGCTTCCCACTTGTTGACTCAGTGCGTCTATTGTGTCTCCCTTCGCCCCTATCACCGTTTCCCGCGGTCCAGCAAATCGCAGAGTGCCGAAATATACGTCTGGGCCATTTGCAGAGTTTCAAACTTGGAAAGTTTGTGATCTTCACCCAACGACGGTATCACTTCTCTGAGGCGATCGAACGCCTCGTTCAATCCGTTCATACGACGGCGTTCCCTGGCGTTTGCTGCCAAGCGTCTCTTCTTAACAACTGTCGGGGAGGTCGCCCGTTCGGATCCCGGACACCCAAAGTGGCCCCTCCTGCTACCACTGGACCTTGAAGAACCTCTCCGACTACGGTTCTGGAGATGTAGCCCCGGATTCAGCGGCCCGGAAGTTTGGGTGGAGCCCGGAACACTCAGTAGACTTCCAACCGGTGGAGACACTGAAGCGTCCCAGACTATGTCCTGTCGATTGCTTGCCTTGTACATCGTGTTACTGTTTCCAGATCTATCGTTGCTCGTGTTGGCAGATACATCACACAAGGACAGCCCCTTGTACCTGTCTTGAGAAAGCGTGTCTTGGTGCCTGTACAAATCTCTTCCCTTGTCTGCTTCTTTATTCATAGAATACGAACCATTGGTACCACTGACGGAACCATCCAGTACGAGGCACTTAGAGTACTGTTTCCCGTCATAACCCGTAGTTGTAACGGGGGACAATTCGCGGTATCGGTAAAGCGTCGAGACTGAGTAGTTGTCAGGAGTTCCAAAATCCGAAATTTGCCTTTTCACCGGGGAGCTAATATCAGATTTTATATCCCCCAAATTATCAGTGTCAACAACACAGCGTTTTGTATCACTTCTCAAAGGGGAAGATTCTCGATGTCGGTACAGAAGAGACGAGGTTGTAAAGTCCTCGTTGCTTCCTGATATCCTCATTGGGCTGATGCCGTGTGTCTTCAAGTTCTCTAGACCTAAGGGCGAAGAGTACAGTCTCACTTCATCTTCGGCATATCCTGTGACGATGGACGTCGGCGTCAGGATGCGCCCTGGGGAGAACATTTCGTCTCCAGAAGCCGAAGGGTTGTTGTAGACGTAGTGTTGTAGAGATGGTCCTGAAGGAGGCGGTATAATAATTCCAGGTACGCGGCAATCCAGTGGCAGAGGTCGCAAGACCATGGCACCAGAAGCCCCCGAAGACGCGCCTTCGCATCGCACTAAGTCCATCTTCAGGGCGTGTTTTCATCCTCTCATGGTGGCAGTGTTACTAGTTGATCCCCGCCAATCAAGTAATTTATTTACACTTCTAAACATGATTTTTCCTATAAACTTGGTAGCATATTTCATTGCTTACGTCACTCCGTACGTAAGACTTCTTTAAGTCCTAATTATTGATAAACTTTGGTTCCTTTAATTTCTAAATATTTGACAATGCAATAGTTCCTCACTTGTTTATTAGCGACAATTCATGGTTTCTTCACTTTTTATATAAAAATAGTTTTATATATTTCCTAAGTGCTAACAATCTTAGAGTTCTTCGCTACCTCACTTCTTAGCAAAACTTTACCTAATTTGGAAATATGTAGCTCATATATTATCATAAGAGAGATCCTTATTATGTTTAAAGTGCATATCCTGACCAGATTTCTTCAACATAAATGCTACTAGTTCTGACGTTTACTAATTCCAGATAAAACTACAAGTTCAATTATCCTTTTCGACGTATTAATATTTTTCTCTTAAATAATGCTCGGTAACTTTGTACCAAATCACTTTTCACGCCCCTAGCATAATCCATTCATAGCTGGTCTTGAAATAATATGCAAACAGTGTGGATTGACGACATATCTTAAAAATAATATTGCAGGAATTGTCATAATGATAACTTTACGGTACCATGATCGTCTCTTTGTAGAAAGCTGATGTACGTCACAAAATTTTACATATAACACAATGTCCTAACAAGTTCTGATTTCTTACCACATACACAAGAAATTTATCCCGAAAACAGACCAGATTTCCTTCGACGCAGTCCGTATCTCTACGTAATTACATTTGTAGAAAAAAATTTATTCGTAAGTTCGAGATTTTATTTAATATAACTTCACCTGTAGTTTTGATGTCATGACAGGAGTTAACACAGAATTAGTAACCGAATATTTTGCTAGTTGGTTAACACCGAACACGATAATCCACCCACTGCCACAAAGACACAAATATTCCAATAGTCACAAATTACGTGATAATATTCAAAAAGTCCTGTAACACTGATATCAAGTTCAACGTACTAAATAGCCGAAGTTCATATATTTTGTAGCACTGTAGTTAAGAGAGCTGAAGTACGAATGTTACTTAGAACAACAACACTGCACAGCTGTCTTGGACATTACTTTTAAATCGAAACCCCCAGAGAATGTGAGGTTCCGAAGAAATGTTCTTTTGTAGACGACTGATGACTGGTAACGTACCGAGAGTCTGGCAGACCCCAGGATTCGTGTGAATCTCTGCGATATATTTACGGTACCTTCAATTATATTTAAGGTAACTAAGGGCCTGTCGTGACTTGGTACTGCACCGTCAGTTTGGTGGCAGATGCTTGCTGTTAGTGCAACTTTGTTATCGCTTCGACAGAGCACTGACCATCTTCACGCATCCAAAGCAAAGAATCGCCCATAACTGAATTAATGTTCTTTCCGTTACCACAGAGCGAGACAGAGACATACAGAATTTAATGTACAACCCTCTCAGAAAAAATTGTAAGAAAAACAACTTTATAAATACACAAAAAAAGACTTATTTTGCAACTGTTCTTGTCCACCAGAGTCACGTGCTAAGAACATGTGAACCAATGAGGGATCATCCTGGTTTTTATTCTTATAATTGGATGTTAATATTGTGGGGGGTTGCTTGGTGGTGGGGGAAGTGTACATACATCACAACCACCTTGCCGTCCGCCATCCGGCAGACGTCAAACCCACAGGTCCAACCCCCCCCCCCTTCCCCAGAACACAAACACACACGACCGTGGAGTAAAGCACGGACTTTCGAATGTCTCGGACACAAAACTATCTCCAGCCTAGGTCGGGAGGCCTTTACCCCGAACGACGAATTCACCTCCACTAGGCCAAGAAATTCTCGTGCAACAAAATAAATAAATTAAATGTTATTTATATCTGATAAAATATACATAAAACCAAAAAATAAAATTTCCGAAAACAGAGACCGCGCAGGCCTGAAAATTATAAATACGAAATATACCTCATGCCCGACACAAGTTACTTTTATACCAAATATTCTGACAAAACTTAACAGAAATTTCTTTGAAAACAGATAATATGTTTAGGTACCAATTTTTATTTTAAATGCATTTTTTTACGTACACAAGAATCAATCCCGCCGCTTACGTTTAATTTAACGCCTTCATTGTAAATTATAAAGCAAAATTGGCAAATAAGATAAACGTCAGAGCGCATACCGGGAATCGAACCCTGGTCGTCAATTCTCATTACCCGAGTCTACATTCATGGCTAGGCTATATTCTGCGAATCGGCGCTGCTCAAAATATTATTTCCATACCAATATGTTAATTATTATAAATTTTGTCAGAATCATAATCTGAAATATATAGTTTAAAACGTAAAGAAGCAAATGTGAATAACTTCTCTTGAAACACTAGCAGGTCGACTTTAAAATCACGACTTTCTTTGCTAAAATTTTAATGAAGATCTCATGGGCTAAATTTCGTCATAATCTCTCAGCTCACAGCCGAATTGATACTTGTTGACATGTCTAAAATAATTGGCTTTACAGATTTTCTGTCTTGCAGTAGCTGCGATTGGGAGAACCCTTGCACATTAAGGCAGAGGTAGGCTCACCAGCAAGCTGTAGCCGTCTCTTCCTCTTGTAGTCAGCTGTTTCTGTGTGCAGCAGTTCAGGTAAACAATAAACGGGGGAGGGGGAGCCCTTCGCAACAAAAAAGAAACAGTGAAGCATCTTCACTGTTCTAGTGAGGAATACTTTACTGGAAGAACATACAGAAAGTCGAACACTTTCCCAGTTCCTAATAATCATTATATTATCGAATTTTATAAGGGCGAGGGGTTGGAATGTCGATCAGGCGATCGGATTTTCCCAATTTCTCAACGCGAATACTTGGACACTACATCGAAGTAGATCACGCCAAGCACTTTAAAAAATTTTTAACCCGTCCACAATTCGAAATTGTTGTCCCATTTTCCCCGGACAATGTTTAATCTATGTTATTGAAACAACGTCATTATATAACCTACAAATCAAACAAATAATCGCCAGATTTCCAAAATCTTCATTTATTCCTACCTGCGAGTGTCCAATGGTAAAATGAATGTGAATTATAAACAGCCATAAACATGAACAAAGCATTCACGGTCGATTTTATAATAGAACTGTATTATAAAAGACACGTGTTCAGGTCGAGAATCTAGTTGGTAAACTTCCGAATACGAATCCTGAGTGAAAACAAGTCAATCTTCACGTGGTAATGTTGATCTAATTTGACTTTTAACCATCTTGGCTATAAAAAAAATACATATATAAATTTGTAAATAAATTTCATACACAGAAGAGTTTCCATAAAGAAAAGTAATCAATACTGAGAAGAATATTTTATGCTACGAAGAATCCATTAGCTGTTTTTCAAAACAATTTATATGAAAAACTAAAGTAGACTTAGACTGTAGGGGTAGATTGTTCAGATGCTTAAAAACCACGTCATAATGGCATAACGAGGGCGTAATTCATTTGTCCGCAGGATCTATTCTCAGACAGAACATCACAGTGGAGTTACGTATTCTGGAGTAACAGATTCGTCCCTCGATCTGGAGACCAACTATCTTAACTAAGGCCTTCCATGATTTTCTACAGTGAGATGTAATCTATTCGAGCTTCGTTAACGCTGAATATGCCATAAAATTAGTGAACGTACCGCGGCCATTAATGCACGCAAACCAGTTAAAAAGCTTAATCCAGATCATCACCGCACCAATAGAATTCAGACACTGGAAACGTAGAGAAAGAAACTCTAAAAGTTCTGGTTTGCAACGCAGTTAAGTGCTAACATCTTTGCTTCCTGGTTCAACATTACTTCTTTATACGACGTCGGATGGCAGCGGTGGACTTTGAAACGTGAAGAATCACATATTTCTTGGCCTGAGGAGCTTGCAGTGAGGCGCTTAGCAGCAAATGGGGAGACAGCGGTCTCAGGAATCCAAAGCGCACGATAATATTTGTTTTGGGGAATTCTGGTCGGGTGCTAGTTCAACGACCCACACTTGCTGTGGAGTTTCGCCTGTGTCTGGGCACCGGGCTATGAAGGCGAACGGATTTCAGTACTTGAGAACTTATTATTATTATTTAGTGTTCTGTCTGACGACAGGTCCATATGAACAGGATCCTTCGATCCTTTTCTCGGACTGGGACCTGTTCATATACGTTCTTGGCAGATGATCCAGAAGTGGTTTGCCATTGCCTTCTTCTGTGTGTGAATGGAGTAATTGTTGGGATGCCACGGAGAAACTGGGGAAGCCCCCGGAGGAAAACTCCGTGTTGCCTAGACCACGGGCCTTACCCAACACAAGTTATAAATTCGGGCACCGCCGGGAATCGAACCCGAGACCCCCAGGATTACAAGGCCAGCGTTCTAACCGCTAGACCACCTCATCTTATTATTATTTAGTGTTCTGTCTGACGACAGGTCCATATGAACAGGATCCTTCGATCCTTTTCTCGGACTGGGACCTGTTCATATACGTTCTTGGCAGATGATCCAGAAGTGGTTTGCCATTGCCTTCTTCTGTGTGTGAATGGAGTAATTGTTGGGATGCCACGGAGAAACTGGGGAAGCCCCCGGAGGAAAACTCCGTGTTGCCTAGACCACGGCCTTGCCCAACACAAGTTATAAATTCGGGCACCGCCGGGAATCGAACCCGAGACCCCCAGGATTACAAGGCCAGCGTTCTAACCGCTAGACCACCTCATCTTATTATTATTTAGTGTTCTGTCTGACGACAGGTCCATATGAACAGGATCCTTCGATCCTTTTCTCGGACTGGGACCTGTTCATATACGTTCTTGGCAGATGATCCAGAAGTGGTTTGCCATTGCCTTCTTCTGTGTGTGAATGGAGTAATTGTTGGGATGCCACGGAGAAACTGGGGAAGCCCCCGGAGGAAAACTCCGTGTTGCCTAGACCACGGCCTTGCCCAACACAAGTTATAAATTCGGGCACCGCCGGGAATCGAACCCGAGACCCCCAGGATTACAAGGCCAGCGTTCTAACCGCTAGACCACCTCATCTTATTATTATTTAGTGTTCTGTCTGACGACAGGTCCATATGAACAGGATCCTTCGATCCTTTTCTCGGACTGGGACCTGTTCATATACGTTCTTGGCAGATGATCCAGAAGTGGTTTGCCATTGCCTTCTTCTGTGTGTGAATGGAGTAATTGTTGGGATGCCACGGAGAAACTGGGGAAGCCCCCGGAGGAAAACTCCGTGTTGCCTAGACCACGGCCTTGCCCAACACAAGTTATAAATTCGGGCACCGCCGGGAATCGAACCCGAGACCCCCAGGATTACAAGGCCAGCGTTCTAACCGCTAGACCACCGTGGCGGTTACTTGAGAACTACGTACATTAAAAGTGTCAGGACTAATTTAATGATAGCATAACATTTTAAATGAAAAATACTACATTCACTTCTTCGTATTTAGTAAATATATTCTTACGCTAAACGGAACAAACAGTTCTGAAGAAATTTATACCTGGTATGATATGTGTAGGCCAATGTACACTACACACATCTGTATTACGTAAGGGCCACTTTGATTTTTGTTTTGTTAGTTGATTATGATATGCAAATAAGCTTGGATCTGGAAAAAAAATTGTTGTGATGCGTATCACGGCTGATACCTGGCACTGCTATTCTCCTATAACGTACTACGTAGCACGAACAAATAAAGTGGACGGGAAAGGAATGAAGCAGGAAGCAGATAAAGATTCGAAATGATTTATTTCCCGTTTAAAAAAATATATATACAGAATATGAGTGCGGCGTGTGTGTTTTTTGCAATGCAAATAAAATTTTTTGAAGAAACACGTAACTTAGGCCTAAAAGATTTGTTTGAACATGAATAATATCAATTTGAAACTTGATTTTTGACTGTCTTGAAATTAATTCCTTGGATTCTACTCGGTCTCAGGTACAATTTCTTAGACTAATTACGTTAAGACACTTATCTCCAAGAAACAAAAGAAATACAGCCAACGTAAAGAAATTATAGACCTCAGCAATGCTGTACTCCACTGGAGAGGCTGTTGGCTGAACTGGATCCAGGCCAATCGCATTACTGACTGACCTAATCCGACAAAGTCTGCGAAGCTTAATAAAAACCGAAACCCTGCATTAAGGAGTGATAACATCACTCAGGCCTGGGAAGATCGTCAGGCCGCCATGTTGGTATTATAGATGATATAAAATTAAGAAGTGCAAAGTTGCTGTGGATTCGAGTGGAATAAAGTCCGTACCAAAACTCGTAAAATTGGTTCAAACGTTACTACGAGTGTACGGACACACGGACATGTTGATCTCATACGCCAAGCTTTCCTTAAATGTATGTAAAATACGCCAATAGAGAAAATGGCTTTTTTCTGGTC